AAAAAAAAAAAAAAAAAAAAAAAAAAAAAAAAAAAAAAAAAAAAAAAAAAAAAAACAAGCTTTTCAAAACCTGGGATTTTACTAAGACCAAAGAAAGACGAGACCGCCGTAATCACTTTCGCTGATCTCCGCTCCTCACCACGTGTACGCTTTTCCCTCTATAAATTCCTCCTCCCCTTCCCATTTCTTTCGTCTTTGCTCCCCTCACTGTCTAAACGCAGCTTCTCTAATTTCTCATCTTTTTTTCTCGTAAGTTTTACCAATCCCATCCCTCTTTTCCCTCTCCCCTACTTTTCCTCTTTTGGGTTCTGTTTTAATCCGTTGTTTTCTGTGTCCTTCTGCTCAGCCGATTGCTATGGCAACCAAAAGGAGCGTCGGTACTCTGAAGGAGGCTGATTTGAAGGGAAAGAGAGTGTTTGTAAGGGTCGATCTCAACGTTCCTTTGGATGACAACTTCAACATCACCGATGACACCAGAATCCGTGCCGCTGTTCCTACCATTCAGTATTTGCTTGGCCATGGCGCCAGAGTTATCCTTTCCACCCACTTGGTGCGATTCTTATCCCCTTTTACATCATCTCCTTTCCATCTTTATCGTTCTCACCAGATCTATCCATCGCCCATGTCTTTCCTGAGTTTTAGTTTCTGGGTTCCTTCAATCGTTGCATTTGATAACATGTCTGAGAATTATAAGTTTCGATTTGGTCTTCAGGAATTTTCATCAACCCTTTCCCATTTTCTCACATCTTGCTTGATGAATTTGGATGAACTTGAACATGAATGTGGCGATTTCGGATAAATGTACAATTTTCTATTCCCATTCCTTGTATGCGCGATTCAATTTTGTGGATCTAATATTTTCAGTATCAAATATTGGAAGTCTCGTCGACCTGTCTAGTAAGGGGCAATGTTAGTTCCCTCTAGTAGAAGATTTCCATACTCTGCGTCTTCTTTTCCCTTGCATTAAATTTAGAGTGGCGGTATGTATTATTCTATCGTGAGTGATCCACTACTGTGATGTTCTTTACCGACAAGCCCTACTTCTTCTGTAATATTCTGCATGAATTTTTGAGTTCTTTTCTAATTCGCCGAATTTTTCATTTTGTATAAATACCTTTGCTTATTTGTTATCGATTATTGTGGTCTTGTAGGGACGACCAAAGGGTGTTACACCGAAATACAGTTTGAAGCCTCTTATTCCCAGGCTTTCCGAGCTACTTGGACTTCAGGTATGGCATCTACATTTTGTGTAGATGTTTTTATTATAATAATAATAATTATTATTATTATTATTATTATTTTTTTTTGGGGGT